GTATAACAGGTCACCGGAAACAGGAGACCTACCGGAAAGCTAGAAGACAGCTAATGTAGTCCCAATATACAAAAAAAGGTTAACCCGCAAAAGACACTGAACTACAGGCCAGTTTCCCTAACTTGTATACCATGCAAGGTGATGGAAAAGATCGTGAGGAAAAGGCTCATAGAGCATCTGGAGGGAAATAGCTTTGTAACACACCACCAGCATGGGTTCAGAGATGGTAAATCGTGCCTCACACGTCTTAATAGAATTCTATGACTAAGCAACACAAATAAGGCAAGAAAGAGAAGGGTGGGCAGACTGCATTTTCTTGGACTGTCAGAAAATAAGTAAGTAATTATCAAAGAAGGCACCAAACCGGGAAGGCTATGTAGCACCATGAAATGTGCGGGATAATCAGAGGGCACTAAATATCACCAAGGATGCCAATACGAGAACAGAAACGCATAAGGCGAACAGTATCAAAAGTATCTGAGTCACCAAGAATACTATCAAGGGACAAGCGACCGCGGGGGACGGTCAGAAAACAAGACACACACTCGTCCCGGAAGTCAGGACATTCAACAAGGATATGCATGACCATAAGAGGGACAATAAGGAGCAGGGCAGCGCTCCAAGTGACCAGGAGTTAAGCAAGTATGGCCAATATGCAACCTCGCCAGAGCCGTTTCCCATCGCTGATTACGGTGGTAGCAGGACGGCCACGAGGGGGGACAACCCTTAAGAGTATGCAGTTGTTTCCAGTAACAGAAGACCAACAAGCCTGCCAATGGGTAAGGATAGAGGAATGGATAACCGGGTAAAAATCGGAATAAGGTACACCTTTACGATGCCTACAATATTTCTCTCATCTTTTATTTTTTTCATGCTATGTAACTGTTATCATTTTTATAAATTTTGCAAGTATTTACCTACTTACAAGTTTCTTAGATTAAGGACCTGCCCGAAACGTTGCGCGTACTAGTGGCTTTACAAGAATGTAATTACTATGCTATGTATCCTCACAATCCCAATGTACCTTCTTGTATATTTATAAATAAATAAATAAATGAGAGATGGGACTAGAGCGGACAGCTTCCGCATGCTCATTTAAAGAGACACCAACATGGCTGGGAACCCAACAAAACTCAACCGACTTAAATTTACTGTGAATAAGAAACAGCCAATACTGGATCTCGACAACCACTGGATGGGACTGTCAGAAAGGCTTTGTCACAGTACCTCAAAAAAGGCTGTTACAAAAGTTGGAGCAACAGACACGAGTAAAAGGTAAGGTGCTCCAGTGGATAAGGGAGTATCTAAGCACCAGGAAACAGAGTAACTGTGAGGGGGGGAGACATCAGAGTGGCGAGATGTCACCAGGGGGGTTCCACAGGGGTCTGTACTTGTACCCATCCTGTTTCTAATATATCTAAACAACCTTCCAGAGGGTATAGACTCATTCCTCTCAATGTATGCTGATGATGCAAAAATTATGAGAAGATTCAAAACAGATGAAGATAGACAGAGACTACAGGACGACCTGCACAAACTGGTGGAATGGTCTAGAAAATGGCTACTATAGTTCAACTCAGGGAAAGTGTAAAGTAAAGAAATTAGGCAAAGGGATCAGAAGGCTGATTACATACTCCAAGAGACAGAGAGAGAAAGATCCGGGGGTTGATATCGCACCGAACCTGTCCCCAGAGGCGCACATCAAAAGGATATCATCAGCGACATATGCTAGATGGGCCAACATAAGAAGTGCCTAGAAACTTGTGTAAGGAATCGTTCAGAACCTTGTATACCACTTATGTAAGACCAATCCTGTAGTATGTAGCTCCAGCATGGAGTCCATACCTAGTTATACACAAGACAAAGTTAGAGAAGATTCAGAGGTATGCCACCAGACTGGTCCTGGAACTGAGAGATATTAGCTACGAGGAAAGGCTAAGGGAGCTGAACCTCACATCCCCGGAAAACAGAAGTATAAGGGGAGACATGATAACCACCTACAAAATTCTCAAGGGAATTAACAGGGTGGACAAGACAAACTCTTTAGCACGGGTGCAACACGAACAAGGGGACACAGGTGGAAACTTAGTACCCAGATGAGCCACAGAGACATTAGAAAGAATTTTTTCAGTGTCAGAGTAGTTAACAAATGAAATGCATTAAGTAGTGATGTGGTGGAGGCTGACTCCATACACAGTTTCAAATGTAGATTTGATAGAACCCAAAAGGCTCGGGAATCTGTACACCAGTTGATTGACAGTTGAGAGGTGGGACCAAAGAGCCAGAGCTCAACCCCCACAAACACAACTAGGTGAGTGATATTTCAATGTCACATCATTTTCTGTGGACGTTCCTACAATTCATTCTCTAAGTTTTTTACAGCATACATTATTGTATTTAATGTTATTTAGCGAAAGCATCATATCAAAATCAAATCATCATTATTATATGTAATAATTTATAAGTGCACTTATTATAATTTACTGATTAGCACCAAAATTTAATTTAACAGGATGCACTGTAGAACAGTGGTTTAAATCATTGGTTGAAACAGTCGACACAAAATGGAGAATTATAACTTTTTAACTATTTTAGTAAAAAGAACATTCATCCATCAACAGCCATCATCTTCGCTGACTACTTTACTACAATCTTAATTATTAAACCTTAAAAATCATTCATAGTACTAAAATAAGGAGCTATAGTTGGTAACTATATATACCATAGGTGAACTATAATCTAATTAATAATTTTAATAATAATAATAATAATTATTTAACTTTGCCACAAGTCAACAGATTTTCTTCATTTTCTCAGAATAGTACTGTCCTTAGACTGCTCAGAGGTAATTAGAGATGGTAATTAATTCTCTCCATACAAACAAATGATTTACCTAAATTTGGAGCACTGTGTGCTCAGCCCCACAAGGTCTCTGTGCCGTCTGCTGTGTTCCACAAGACCGAATTACTGCCCATTCCCAGGATGCACGAACTTTATAAAGTGATTGCTTTGGTAATTATTAATATTTTTTTCACATATATCACCCAATACCCATCGGCTGTTTGAAGCTGGGGTACAGAGTACATGTGGTGATACAGTGTACACATGGTGGTACAGAGTACATGTTGGAGGTAGTACTGAAGATAATACCCATCCTGTGGGTGTAATGGTCCCTATTCCCATCCCATGGTGAGTTGTGAACCCCCTTAACCATCCTGTGAAGGGTATTGGTTCTCATACCTGGTAGTACAGTCAGATTAGTTCTCGATGCACACTCCAATCAACGAATTCCGGGTTTGAATCCCAGGCGGGACAGGAATAGTTAGGCACATTTCTTTTCAGCTAATGCCTCTGTTCACCAAGCAGTGAGTAGGTACTCGGGAGTTAGTCAGCTTGTTGTGGGGTTGCATCCTGGGTGGGGTCAGTAATTCGGCCTAGGGAAGGGGGGGAGGTCCTATGTATAAGTCTACCGTGTATGAATACACTCTGGCTTCCTGTCCCCCAACACAATGAATTTGAATTATTATACCCATCCTGTGGGCGGTAGGGTATTACACCCTTCCTAATTCGTTTTTGTAATACATAATGTACGATCCATTTTTTTTTACAATTTGCATAGAGTATATTCTATTGTATATATTATAATTTGACACCAATTGAAATATATATAGATAGTATTTCATAGAATAATTGTTATAATTTACTGAGAATTATCAAGATTTCTCCAAACAAAACTAAGAGCTTTCAAGAGGATGTAGCTGATCTGTGATACAGTATTCGAATAGGATGGAAAATGGTACGTAAATATCACACCAGAAGTGGGAATGAAAAATTACAATTATTATTAAAATTTGAGCAAACAGACTATTCTGCTGTCCACGGCGATGGGATGGGTACTATGGGATGTACTATGGTATGTGAGGAAGGGTTGGTGCCTGGTGATAGCTCATAACTAAATCTACCACAAGAAAACTATGAACATTAGGAACATAAGAACTATGAACATTATGCGACATAATTACTGTGGTATACCGAGGACAGGTTGACAGTATTAATTCCATTCACCTGGGCTCTAGGAGACTCGAACCATGGCCCCCCACGCGTGAGGCCCAAGCTCTATCGACTGAGCTATTCTTTAGTGAGGCCGAAGCTCTATCGACTGAGCTATTGTTTATTTCCACGGAAATGTGGATGACGACTATATATTAATGTTCAAAATATGACAAATAGGATACTTGGAGTTATCTAAAACATTAACAATGAGTTATCGAATGTAATTCTTCAGCTTTATCCTTCCTTCGTTATGCTATAGATTATGCATTCCGGTTTGTCATCATATTATATAGAATGGACATAAATTCACTAATGTAAGACAAAGTTAATTCCAGGAATTATGAAGAGAACAAAAAAAAAATCATTTATATTTTCTAGAAAGTCAAAGAGTATCAGGTAACATGATTGAAGTTTTGAAATGAATATATTAATGAAGTTTTAAATATGTTTACACACAACTGAATGCCAAAGTATACATATAAGGTTAGTTTAGATTTGGAAAACACCTAGAAAAATACTAGTCTGGAAATTGGGTCTCACATATGGAACACATTGTGAGGCTGTCAAGTTCTATAAAGTGTAGGTTAGACAGACATATACGAGTTTGGATATAAATATTGGCTGCCTCTCATGGGCCAAGAGACAGCAGTTGTCTTATGAAGTTGGTCAGTTGTACTACATTGGGTGTATTGTCTATGACTGTATTGTATAGCCATGTCAATTTTCACAACATAAACATGCTTATATACAAGATGCTTATTTTCTGTTAGCCTTTGATTACTTCACAGCCTGGTTTATCACCCAATGTTCTGTAGTTAACGATATTTCACACCTCTCACTATTTGCTTCTTATTTTTGACGAGTCCAATCCATGGTGACGTTTAGCAAGTCAAACGCTCAATTAACTGCTGTTTGAAATGTGAGAATTAAAGGAGATGAAAGGTGAATTATATTTTATGTTTAATATACCTTGTTTAGGAGATAATATAATCTCATAACTCAATATATTTATATACAAACATTATGTGCATAGCAGGAATACCAGAGAAAAGACAAGTAAATAATAATTTGCTGATTCAGCAATATATACATATAAAAATGAGTTACTCTTTCATTGCTCTTAAGCTCACTTTCATCTGAACAAGTCTCTCGGCAAAATATTCCATGGGTTGATATGACGTCATAAAGGTCCAACTTGCATACAATGCAATTGGTTTTAATAAATCTTATATAAATAATACAACCCAAGAATATTTATGACATATCTTGATACTTTATGAAACCACAAGAAAAGACTTTATACCATATGTTTTTAAATTTAGTAGAAAACCATAATTATATTAATTTGTGTTGAACAGAATTGTATTTAAAAATACATAATTTTAAGTTAAAATAGTATAAAATTATTTTGAAATCTCTAATTATCGAGTATTTGTCAGTCTAATGATCCATATTATTCCATCACAATAGAGTAATGTCTATACAAGAAAATTGCTAACCTAACAAATTTGGCACATGCGGTAGAAGGGAACAAATTAAAAAGAGGGACCACAACACCATCAGCAACTAGTATCTATCTAGTTGCTGCTGGTATTTCTGATCAACACATTCAAGAGATGAGCAGGAGTATGAGGTGGTGAAGAGTATCATCATCATCATCATTGACAGGTAGATACATGACAGAACATTGAGCCCTTCAACCTTCATCACACACACACATACAGCAGAGGCAGTCACCAAAAATGCAAACTGATTTGTCTCTGGACAGCACCTCTAATCTGAGTGGATTCACTGGGATAACAACAGCAACTGTACAGTCACAAAGAAGTAATTGCCTAACTTAAATACTCTACTTCACTACTAGTAGCACCTAAAGTAGTCATTAAATACTACTTAATAACATCACAAACAATGCACAACATAATGGTGTCCCTCATTACATTGTAATACAGTATTATTGAAAATCAACTAACTTGAGCAATTCTAATATATCTATCTCTAACTATAATATAATTTTCTAGTCATAAAATACAGTATGTAATCTTCCTTAAATACTGATGGACGGAGCATAACAGTCTCAACTTAACATTCTTTGAAAATGATATGCTTAATGAATTCCCATCTGTTATATAGTACCAAAATATGGAATGATAAGTCTTGTACTATTTTTTCACAACTTGCAAATAAGGCCAACTCAGTGAAGTGATTCTCAAGTTTTGCAACACACCCATTTTAATTTCTGCAGGTTGTCTGCTAAATATTAATGTATTGTTAGGCAACATCAACATGATTTGCTAAAGTTTCATATAAAAATATATATACAGGTATATTCACCCAATATGTACCTAAAGCATGCTATACTCAAAAAGTACTGGATAATAAAGGCAGATACCCTGAACTACACTTGCAAAGTGCAGCGTAAGCATATACTGTACTCTCAAATAGAGTAGTAAAGTAAAATGGGAGTCCCAATATTGCATTGCCAATTTAAAGTCTTCCAATCTGATATAAAAATCTGATATTTCATACTGAATATTTATAAAATCAATGATTATTATAATATGTAATATAGGGCCTACATCTCAATTATAAAATTCGGAATATATTTAAGGAATGTACAAGTGCTATGGCAAGTGGAGGAATTAAAATTAGTGTACGATGCTCAGCTCTGGTGATGGTGATCAACATGGGTAGGAAGACCATGGGTTTCCTCGAAGAAATCTGGCTCATCATCATCATCATTACATGCAGATGCTTCTTTACCATCAAGCTGCAGAAATAGTAAAATTTTATTATTAAAGCCAGGCACTTGTTTCTGGCAAATTGCATGGAAAAGACAGTTTTGTTTCAATTCTAATACAGCAACACTCAAAATCCAGACTAAATGGTCTTGCAAATTATCTGGATTTTGGGATCTTTTCCTCTTTTTTTCTCTCCTTTTTTATTCTCACGATTCATTAGCAATTTTTTAAGTTTTCCTAAAGCAAATTGGATACATATTTGCACATACCTGTATTTAAAAGTAATATACTGTATAAACAATAATTTTCTTTTATACAGTACAGTACTGTAATAATACAAAACTTTCTTCTTAACCTTATGGTAAAAATCTCAAAGCTACCAATAGTACATGCATTGTAAACTGCTTAGCAATCTCATTAAAATTTATCTCAATTGTTGCCAACAGAAGTGTTCTTCCTGGGACAAGGCAGCAACTGAACACATTGCATGATGAAGAGATGGGTAAATTTGCAAAGCCGGAATGATAATGGAATCATATGAAAGCAGTGCTTTCTTTCTTTCTACGTTACCAATGTAACAACGTACGGTTATGTTATGGTGTAGGCTATGTGATTTGTAACATACGATTATGTTACGTTGTTGGGTAGATTAGATACACTGTTTAGTGAGTTTCATATTCAAGCTCATGAAACTCATGAGTTTCATATTTACATTAAAAGAGCTGCGAGACGTCCTCGGTGCAACTTTAATCTCTTATTGCTCGTCAGTAATCTACAACTATTAAACTAAACCAGTGGTGGTGGTGGAATGGCAATTTACTATGTCCAGGAGCTAAAATGCACCAACATTATCATATCACCATTTATATCAATATTATCTCCAACAATGCACCAACATTATCATATCTAGAGGTAAATGAGATGGTGAAGATCTGCCCATCACAGAAAACACTAGAGCCTTCAGCTTCACATAGCCCAGGGAATAAACTGTATGGATGAAATTCAGACATCCAAGAAATTGGAAGATTTCCATGGAATAGTGACAAGCTGGTAATGGAAGAGGCTGGGAGCAAAACACAGAATGGGAAGGGGAGACAGGAATTTTCTTCATTCACAACATTAAACCATTTCAGACTAAATTACTTGTGAACATGGTGGGTTGCATTTGAAGTATTTCAATCTGATCTTCCAAACTGATTATATGTAATAAAAATTTAGCCTAAAATGTTAAGGTAAACTGCATTTCAGACAACCACTAATATTTTCCAAGTCTCAAACATTTAATTTAATGAAAGATATATTCAACATATTATCTGGCAACAAGAAATAATATGTCTTTAACAGATATAAATTTTAATGCTGTATTGTTCTTATATCTTACCGCACTAAGCTCAGGGTTGGTGAAACCATAAGGCAGGAGGTATAATCTCATTGGGATGAGAAGCATAAGGACAAATGGGAAGCACAGAGCAGCTGGTGACTGCTTTACTATCCACAACACCACCAACATTAACAACTGGATTCCAGTGAAGGTATGCATCTTCCAGGTGCGGACCTGCAAAAATCAAGTATGCTATAATATGGCTTAATTATGATCTTTACAAAATTGCTACATTCACATGCATAAACCTTTGTTGAATTTATCTGAGGGGGGCTACCATCTTCAGTGACTTCAGCAGTTTGTCTAAGGTAACCTCCCCCCCCCATTATTCTAGAGTTTTTCCGGCTGAATTTTAAACTGAAGTACAGTACAACTGTACTATAATATCTTGGTATTTTAAGGTTTTGGTGGGTATATGATTCCCTGGCCATTTGTTAAACCCAACACCTCTGGCTTAAATTCAAATACAAATGCAAATGCCTATATTTGTTGATACACAGTATAACAATTACGTTTTCATCTATACAGTATCTAAAAAAAATAATAATAATAATTTAATCTGTATTTTAGTAACTGCCATACGATTTTAAGGCTAAAGGTGACTGGATCAGGATAATCATCAGATAAAAGATGGCAGCAATGTATGCTGACATGCCATAATATGGATGCTACATTAATATCAATAGATTTAAGAGGAGCTTTGTTAGGATCATCTTAATTATGCTTCAGCTTTATCTTGAATGCTGTATTTTGCCCTTTGTCCCTTTAAATTTATTAATAAAGTAATTTTACATTATATACAATTATATTTTAAAATGGGGTTTCTCTAAATATAGAATTAGAAAATGAATCTAAATACAAACCTTCTTTACGTAGGGGACGTTGGGATGATGCTTGACGGGCATGAGGAAGAGAACTAATCGCTCCAAGAATTGTATGCCAGCAGTTGAAGAAAGACCCATGTAAAGGAAGATGCCAAACAGAACTGCTTTTGGCACCATATTAAGAACTGCTGCCAAGAGTACTGATAATCCGATCATGACAGAAACTACAAACGCACTCAATCGTTGCTCTGTAAATATAAAGGTAAATTTGCTTTGAATTAGAACAATTATTTAAAATATATTATTTAAATGATAGTCTTCTATTTTCCACAGTAAATAATGCTATTTACTGACAGTTTTATCTCTTAAAAATATATGTTAAGTCAAGATACCAATATAAAGTTCATAAATTTGATTCACTATGAGATAATATATTCTTCCATTAACCCTTAGATTACTGTTTACATCAGCTGACGTCTTTCACCAATAGAAATTTGATAACTAGGTAAATTATAAATTATATAAATTTATAATTAATTATAAACTAATTATAAATCCCAATTAAATATATAATAAAAAATGTCAATTAGTAAAAAATACAATATTTAAGCAAAATATTAAATTTGAGCTCATTATTATTATCTTTTTTTTTTGTCACCCAGATTTACATACAGTATTAATATTTCCCCTTAAATTCTATAAGAAATTAATATAAAAGGGTTAAAACATTATCTAAATTTGAGAAACTGTTGTCATTATTAGAAATATTGAGGGAAATATACAGATTTAAATATTTTTTTTTTTTTTTTTTTTTTTTTGAGATATATAGAAGAGTTGTTACATTCTTGTACAGCCACTAGTACGCGTAGCGTTTCGGGCAAGTCCTTAATCCTATGGTCCTTGGAATACGATCCCCTGCCGCGAAGAATCGTTTTTTCATCCAAGTACACATTTTACTGTTGCGTTAAACAGAGGCTACAGTTAAGGAATTGCGCCCAGTAAATCCTCCCCGGCCAGGATACGAACCCATGACATAGCGCTCGCGGAACGCCAGGCGAGTGTCTTACCACTACACCACGGAGACTGTTTATAATTTATAATTTTCATGTATGTATTCCAATTTTTTAGCTGTCAATTGGAAGAGAAATAATTTTTTTTATATCTTCAGCATTGTGGACTCCATGGCTCATAGCCACATTGTGCTTAGTAAGGTTTAATTATGTACTTCAGGTTATCATTGGCACTGCAGGTGGGAAGCAGGAAGGTACTTAGATGGCAGACCTCTTGGCAGTAGGCAAAGGGCAGAGCCTTCTCTACCTCTTCCCTCTTATTTCAGCACCTCTCCCATTCCAAAGGGGGGAGCATACTGATACTTAATATCATGGCTTTTAGATAGAGGGAGTATTATGGAATATATACATGTCAGACTTTTTGCCAGAGGAACAAAATAGTTTCCTAGTGTCATTATACACTGTAGCAGTTGTTACGGTTCACCTCAATCAGACCCATTATGATTGATAAGTAATAAATATTAATTATAGCCGATTACAGTACATACCTTTAACACCAATAATCTTAGGGGATTCTCCTGGAGCATGGGTTGAGCTCATGACAGTTAGCGCTGATGTATGGGAGACAGTTCGGACACAAGCTGGACCCATGAAGGGAGCTCCAAAGAGTCCAGATACAAAGTTGACGAAGCACGACAAAACAAGATCCCAGTGGAATCCTGACCCTTTTACCAAATTGCGCTCCGGCTTGCTCAAAATCAGGCTGGGAAAATTCAAAAAGGTTATAATGAACTGTATCTTAAAAATGTTATCCTATTATAATGTATAGACAGTTTCAACAATGCATTCACTTAATATATTACCTCAAAAATACACACACACATGCTGCAAATTAGTTAAATAAGCTGCTCCTGTACTGTATTAAAAGGAGACAAAGTATAAAATTCCAATGATGCAAGATAATGAGCATGGAAAGAGGAGAAAGGATACCAGAGGAACAGTACAACCTGAAGGAGAGGCAGTTAGCAAATTTTTGAAGAGAAAATAACGTTTTTCAATATTATATGCTTATTATTTGGAATGCAATGTCTGATTCAGACAATCCTGGAAAAAGTGGAATGACTTAGGAATACCCACACAGTCTATATATGCTTAACAGGTTAGGTTAACATCAGAAGGTTATGCAAATCTAACAAATAAGAACAACCTTCAGGAATCTGAATAAAGAATCGATCATAACATTACACACCACCAGTGTGTAACTGAAGTGGGAGGAGGGTTACAATGAAGCACTCCTTCAGGGTATTAGTAGTAAAAACGTGGAATAAGCTAAATGAGGTGGTCACTAACACTCTTCATAGTACCATGTGCAGATATGATAAAACAATAGGTCAAGAGTTTTACAACACGTTATTAAAAGACAAGAGGTTAGGTCCAAGAGCTGGAGCACACTTCCATGCATATACAGTATAAAGGTAGGTAAATATACAGACATAAAAACATTTATATATATATTGAACAATACTTACTGGCAGATGTTCTCCTCAAGGAAGACAAGGAAAAAGAGGAGTAGAGATGCTGGGGCAGCAATAAACATACACCACACTGGCAGAGGTTTGGTTACACCTAGTGGGTTGATCAGCCAGCCACGAACTTCGGGGTTGGAAGGCTGGATACCCTCAGGCATAGTAAGTTTGTCAGTGTATGTATCTCTAATTGAATAGTCCAACAGCACCATAAGAACAATAGAGATGGGAACGCCAAAATCTCCCAGAGCACGTCGCACCTGTTAAATAATATGTGCATATAAACTAGATGTAAGATAAACTTAACTGTAATGCAGCATTGAAACACACTGTTAAAGTAAAACCAAATTTTTTCAAAATATAAAAATTATCTTACAGAATTGCAAAGCATAAAATTCTGACTAGAAAAAGAAGCAAAGCAAAATTAAATATTATTTCATCAAAAGAAATTAAACTCATTATATATAAACATAAATAGTATAAACATTATTTATATAGTTAGTGTGCACAGCAGTACTGTAAACCTTACACTTCTTCCTAGGAATTTTGAGTTACGGAAGTGCTTCAGCTTGTAAGCGATGATGAAAGTTCCCAACATGAGAATTAGGGACAAAAGGGCAGTGTTAGGCTGAGCATTCACTATAGAATAAACTTCATTTCCATCAGCATCTGTTCCATTGATCAGACTTCCATTGATGATCATACCATTAACACTGAATAAGAAGAATAAAGAATTAAATAACAGTACGTACCTATATTTCAAACATTTAAAGTCAAATCATATCTTGAATGACATTTCCTAGGTTATTACCGAATTTTCCTGATATCAAACTTTGTGTATCTTATTCCAGACGAATTTATTTCTTATACAGTATACATTTATGACGAGACATTTCTGTTGTATTGATCTATGTTTGCACTTAAACTGCTTTTTTACTTTGCTGTTAAATTTAATCTTAGACCATGAAAATGAACTTTAGTCATATGGTCTTTTACTGTTACTTAAAAGTACTTAGTTACTTATTAAGTTACTTACTTTTTACTGTTACTTTTACTGTTTATGTAACATAAAAAAAAGGTTACATTTTTCTTGATTGTATTAACTAGTAATTTATTATTATTCTGTTAAAAATATTCATGAATCTGTCATACTAAACAACATATATCATATTTCTTATTAACACAAAGGAAAATGCTTTCTTTTAATGACTGCTCTCATTATATGGCAACAAATATATTATGTTATCACTTGGCAGTCAGTTGAACATTCTTACAAGTTTTTAAAATTCCTTATCATTTCTATTTTATTTTAATTAAATTGTAATGAAAAAAGAATAACTTACATTTCAGAATTGTTAACATCATAAAAGTTGTATGCATGTTGAAGAGGATGCTCGACGAAAATGCCTCCTAATTTTACGAAGGCTTCATAAATGAAGATAAGGCAAACAAGGGTTGAGAAGATCTCTTCAGTGAATCTGGTTATTTTCTTGACAATAGCAACAGCTTCAAATGCAGCAATCAGTAATGCAAAAACTGTCATCCACAAGCCAATCCATACACGCATGGACAGGAAATCAAGCTCATACATTGTAGCAAACTAGAAGAAAGCATATACAGTGCTTAATTAGTAACATATATATTCATTGTAATAATTCAGCAACTTGTAGTGATTAATGTAATGGAAATTAACACTAGGTTACAGACAAAATTTTAGCTTCTCCAGAATTTGGTAACACAAAGTAAATTAATAAATTTTGACATTTAAATAATTTCATACGAGCCATGTACACACAGGAAGACTCACCTGGTACAGACTCATATCAAAGATCATCAAGGGTCCTGTGGCACCAACAATAAGTAATGGTTGAGCAGCAAACAGGGCAAAGATGATACCATTCACAGAAGAAAATAGAAGACATTCACCAACTCCTATGTAGTTATTCATCTTGTCACCTGCATTACAGAATTAAATTACCTTTTGCCACAATTCAGAAATACAGTAAATAAAATAGTGGGAGGAAGAAAGGATCCTTTACATGATCATTCCAGTTTCACCGAAGAGGAGGTACATATATATATTTTTATGCAGTTCATTTTATGTGTATATGAACAGTATTGTAGGTACTTTTTTAAAATGTACTATACTGTACATTAGTTTATTTGAGAAACAAATGGAATTCCAAGTAATGTGTGTGTGAATATATATAATGGAGAATCTTACCATACATGCCACCAAAGGTGATAGCAGCTGAAAGGGCAGCAAAGAAAATGAAGATGGCTGCAGCAGCCACTTGTCCATCAATGCCATCTTTAATATCCGAGAGATATTTGGGGTAACGAATCTTAATGTCCTGAATTAAACCAAAGAATGGCTTTCCAGTGCGGATTAAAGGATCTCTTGGTGGCGGTTTTTTGTCCCCTCCATCGCCATCCCCTGCAGATATTGCGGACACAGCTGAAAAAAGATAAGATAATTAACATGTAGTGTATCAAAAAAATTGTGATCAAGCTTGTGTAATACAAAGGAATTGGTATGGGGGTACCTGGCATTGTGTAGCAAACTGAGGCTGACGGTACAAAACCCCTTACATACCCCCCCCCAACCTCCTTTTACATGATCTTCACTACATGCAAACTTAATTAACTGCATCGCTTTCAACACAATCTTCTCTACAGACACCTGTGAGAAGATCTACACTGTATACAACCTTCACTAGGCATAGTGAGGATCTTCACTATATATTACATTCCTTCACAGGATCATAGCCCAAATGTGGATTCTAACTACGTGTATTGACAACTGGATGAATTTCATCACTTATCATAATGCCTCGATGAAGATTCTCATTGCAGTGCACACAATGATCATTTGGATTATGTCCAAGCTAAGATTGTCTGCAGTCAGGTTTCTTACTACAGTACACAGGATCTTCACTCTTTTTACTTCTGGCTGAAGTCGGTTTGCCAACCTGTTCTGTTGATGTACCACAACATACAAAATACAGAGTCCTAACCTAACTAGAAACCCATGAACCTAAGCAACCTACTAAACCTAACTATGCATAGAAAACATGAATATTTGTGAACCATTGTTTTTCATAGTACAGTACTTTGTAATTGCATGTTGGAGACCAAAACACACAAAATGAGACATTAGCCGAGAGGACAGGTTGTCTGGAGTGAATATCTTCAATATAGGAATGTTAGCAAAGGTGCAGCTAGATTATGTCAAATTTTATGTATGCAGATTTTAGTCCATTTTGTCGAGTCATAAGATATTTCTGTAGACTACAGGAGTTAAAAAGCTTAAGTGTGTGAAAGAACAGTTAAAAGTAAATAAAGGACAAAAGTAATACAGTATTATCATGGTGGAGATACATGGAAATGTTTTAGTATTACTACTATATATTGTCTATAATTTTATCCTCCATTTACCTTGGTCACCTTGAACACGCTTGCTTCTCAAACTTTCTTTCTTTTTCATCATCTGATGAGCTTTTGCTCGGATCTCGTCCACAGGAACTAGGTCTTTGTTGTTCCAGTCAGCGGGAGGTAGGACAATTGATGCATTTAAAAATTCATTGATGGCAGATAGGAGTTGTCCACGTGAGTGTGCACGGTAAGCCACTTCATGAAATCCTTTATCTGACATGAGAGTGGAGATTGAACGTCCAACTTCATGGTAATCCATTTCACCATGGAATGGACCCAGGAGTACAAACATAAACCTGACAGGGATGGGAACCTAAAATAAAAAAAAAAAAAATGGAAAAATTAACATACTGTATTGTACAACATATGGACACAACAGACCATCTGCTATGGCACAATTGTATTCTTTGACAAGCCACTGGCTTCCTGTCAGCATCAAGGCCACTAGAGACATTAGCATTCGGTCAATTTGCTGAACTGTAACTCAACCAAATAAAGAATCTGAATTTCATATTGTACTCAAATACGGGTATTTCTATAGATATACTCAAATATGGATATATGGAAAATATGGATACACTGTATGACAAATTCATGTATTTATTGTTTTACTGACCTCAACCAGATTATCCATCATGACTCCTTCAGCTAGCCTTACAAAAGCAATAGTGGGATGCTTGAGGAAGTCCACAGCACCAACTAATACGGCTGTGGCTTCAGCACCCTCAGGAATCTTCTTCATTAGTTCCTTATTCTTGCGTATTTCATCTTTAGCGTCTTTATGTATCCCATCACTTTCAATTTCAATCTGAAGAAAACAAATGTATTAATCTACATAAATACGAGTGCAGTATGCTATTATATTAAAAAATGTCTGGTAAGCATTTGGACATTGCTGACCAGAGAAAAAATCAACTTGGCTTGACAGCATATAGGGCCTCCAGGAAGCCTATTGGCTACAAGCGAATTTCTTGCGACTCCTCCTACCACATAAAATGCGAGTTTTAGGGGGGCAATGGGGAAGGGGGGGGGAGGGACACTCATAACCCATGAAATGTGGGGGGGTTCTTGAGACAAAGATGGCTTGGGTGGGTTGGTAATAACAATTAAGTACCTAGACTTACAATGATACTGTGACTGAAGCCTCCACTATAATGTCCTATGCCACCTGGATTTGTAATGGTGCAATGAAGCCTCCATTACACCGTCCGACACCACCTGGACTAACATGACTCATTCTGAGAGTGAACGTATGTCATTATTAATAAATAGGCCATTTCCTGGATGGTGTTATTCATTACTTGCCCCGTCACCGTCACTGGAAACGAAAGGCAACGGAACATTGCAGAGAGAGAATAGGTAGTGTAACCTTACGTTTTTCTGGTGGTAATGATATGCAGTGTAAGTATGGTTGCGCTGGCAGTCAAGGCCGCGGCGGCAACATTCTTCCTCGGTCACCGCCGTAAGGGGAAACTCCCGTCTCCAACAGCGGTCTTCCAAATGAATGAACACCCTTAACAACCTCAACCCCATGCCCATTAGGCACGGTCACTTATACAATGACTGACCAGACCCAAAAGCATCTTAGTCTATCTGAGTGTGTTTCGATTTTGTTTTTTATTCACATGAGTCTTATAGATAACCCATTTACAGTTCATACCATACGGCGGTGAATGATTCCTCAGATCACACGTTTTCGCGCGAAACCTATTTACTGCACTGTCCTTGAGTTCACTAACAAGATGTTTATAGGAGAATTTAGTGAGAACATCCGCGGAAAAGTTCGCAACAGGTACAACAAGACTAGCAGGCGGGACATAACTAGCCATACCCCCTCTTCCCTGAAGTCAGTGTTAGGTAAGCACAAACCTGGAAGTGTAAGTGTTGCAGGAAGCCTGTCTACAGGTCTGCTCCCGCTGACTGGGGCCCCGCTCTACAAGGCTGACCACTTCCAAAACCATTATCACCACCTCGGGGATTTTACCACAACTTAACACAAAAAGTGGCTCTGTCATCTGAGGTCAATTAACTTGTTTTAAGAGCTAGATCACCAAATCGTGGAAACTGAAAATCGGCACAAGCTTAACTGATTACTATGCATTTATGTTCTGCGATCAGTGTGGGCGGTATCCAGACATTTCGTCTATCCTATACAGACTCCTAGCTATGGTTTAGTGCTCTCACTTATGTTCCAAGGTTGCTCTAGTGTGTATATGTTCCAAGGTTGCTCTAGTGTGTATATGTTCCATGATTGCTCTAGGAAAGTCACTACAACCTTATAATACACAGAGCAGCGGGAGGCCACGTGAGCCACGTTGAGAACCATTACAGGGTGGTGTGCCCTCGCAGGAACAACCTGGATTCGAACTCTGGAGAGTGTGGGATGACTGGTCACCATTCCTTACTATATATACACGTCCCAGTGCACCAGGTAGTAATTGAGGACCTGGTTGTAAAACGATTACTAGATTGTACTTTGGGGGGAAATCAACATGGTACGTCTAAGCTCTGGGAGGAAGAAATCTTGGTCTACAAAAAATGAGTCGACATATTTCTGCTCCTGTGCCCTCTAATGTAGTGTAGACAAATATCGTGTTAATCATCTTTGGCAAATATTTTGAAGTTGATATTGTTACAGTTCTTCGAAAGTCTTTGTTACTGTTATACCAAGAGTACAACTGCCCACTTGGTGCTGCTAGTGGAGTACTCTTCTATAATAAATGTCCCAGAAAAATACTGTACATCGAGGCCAACTGAAAATCACTTGACTGCTTTTTGACAATATCAACATTCTTCTAGTCTAATCAGGCCAAGAGCAACATCTTAACACAAGCTGGTATATGATCTCTCTCTCTCTCTCCAACTTGGAGAGAAATTCATCCAGTTTACAGAGTTTGCCAGTGCAGACTACTTATCACCTGCCTCTGTATGACTAATCATCCTGTGTGAGGGGGATTTTTAGCATAACGTAGCTAGTTGTTTGACACACTGTAACCCCCCCCCCTCCCTCGTCTAGGGTAGCTGCACAAATGTGGATGTACCTAAATGTTTTAATAAAAAAAGTTTGTAGTAATATCAATGTTTGAATTAACAATATATAACATTTTTACTTATCCTTTCACCGTGTTTTTACGTGTCTACTAAAAACGTATCTTTACATGTTATGTATATTAAACAAATTTGGACCTACACATTACACCAACTGGTTATGAATACTTAGTATAATACACCATTTTCCCCTAATGTCAGTGCTCTTTCCTTATTTCTTTCCAATTTTGCCTAGTGATTGTGTTGTATTATTTCTGTTTACAGAGTTGTTATATCTATTAGTCTTTTATGATATCTCACTGTTCTTGTTGATCTTTGCTTCTAAATAATTTGGCCAGTATAAATAAAAGTTTTATTGTAGGACTTTTTGTACAAATACTTATGGGTTAAAGTGCTCTAAAATATGACACCTGAACTTCTCAAGTTTCACTTGGCTCTCGTGTCTACTCTTCAGCATCAGACAAATTCATCTTCGTCATGCATCTTGAAAGGTCATGATAGGTGCTTGTCCAAGTCAAAATATATTATATTTCACCAAAGACCAAACAATGTTGCTGTTGTCGTCGTTCTCTGAATCAGATTACTTTGATATGCTAATTTTATGTTTTGGGGTCTCGTGTCAGCATCCTTAAAATGATCTAGCTCTTAAATATCATGTACCACATGGTATGCTATACAGCCATCCTGGCTAAACGGCTTATTTAATTACTAACTGAAGTACAGTAATAAAGTTATTTTACAGCTTTCTGAAGCATATGAAATAAAATAATAGACTATAATATCATTACATGTAGCCTTTAATACTAAACATTGAAGACATTAGCACTAGCTGTCGGCCTTGGCTATGCTCAAGATGAGGGATATTTTTGCTGACAGTCACATGAACGAAACGAGCGAACCATTCTGGCGCATTAAGTCGTTTTCGCTTCTTACAGTACCCGCATGTACCCACGTCTAGGTACAGGTGTATATCTGTGCCATGTCCCTCCCCGAGAAATCGTGAAGTCTGAACAACAAACTTGACTATGAAAATGCTTTGAATATTTTTTTGTGTGAATGAAATTTGTATTAAATTCGACTTCACTGTTACTTTTTACCGATGCTCAGCAACGTTCTACCCGGCCTATTTTGACTCTTTAAGACAAGTCAACGCAACTCGTTTAGATTTATATTCACTGACAAATGCTTCATAATGTTTCGTGCATTGAATAAAACATTCAACAGATGCATTCTCAAGAAATATTCAGAATAAAGATTCAACGTGTTAAATATATGCATATTTGCCAATCATACCTATAGTCATAAATGTGAATACAATATTGGTTGAATTATGGTAGCCTGTGGTGGTGTTTTAGTGCAACCGCTGGCCGAGCGAGCCGTCGCCAGCCAAGGACACAACTGTAAACCCAAATGTGAAGGTGTGAGGCCCACTGAGAGATAACTCACGCCCTCAGTGGCCAGTTAACACTGCACAGCTGCGACACAGCAAGGTCTCCTTGTTGTGCCGCCAACATGAACATTCAGCTCATATTGTTATACTTCTCTCTCAGTCTCAAACCCTACTGGGACTCGTCACGTTGTTATTGTTTTAGATTTAGCTACTCAGAACGTAATGTCCATGTAGCAAGTGCTATAGTGAGCCCGTAATTAGACTTGTAACGACCGCGGTTGTGTAAAGACTTTGGTACCAGAGTGATGCGATAGCGAGGCGTTTCGCTCAACCGGACCACTTGCCTACCAGTTCCCAGTGCAGTACCGAGGATGCAAGCTACCATCCTAGTCACTATCAGTCTGGTGGAAGACCTACCTGAGTGTAGGAGTCGTCGCGACTGAAGCTTCTCCTGTTCTCTGGGTTGGGATCCTTGGAGACGCCGCCGTTGGCCACTATGGTAGTCTCCTCCACGGAGTTCTGGCGGAGGATACCAGTGAAGGTGTTGACGTGGAAGAGGTTGGAGAGACCGGCTTTACGCACAGAACCCCGAACCCCGGTGTCCAAACTCACCGTTGTCGATGATGGCTGCAACTTCTCATCGGAACTGCATGAAAAAAAAATTACCTTCATATTTAAAAAACATAGTAAATTCTTTCTGCGGCTAATGTCATGGCATAAATATAATAGAAAATATGTATCAAAAAGCTAAGTTAGTCTCTTACCCGATTAGATTTCCCTTTGATCCTATGGAGGGGAGCCTGAAGGAGGAATGATTTTCTCTGATGTGTTTGTGCCTAAGGAGGAGGATTCTGATGACGGCATCCCGCTGGTCGGGAGGGATCTGGTCGCAGGCGATCATCTTGTCCACTACCCGGGAGGCGATGCTGGGCAGATCCCGTTCCTCCAGGTCCAACAGTACCGCGCCTGAAACACACCACAACAAACTTCACTTACAATAAGTTATCATTACCCGACAAAACAACTTTAAAACTAATGGCAAAATTATTTGAGGACAATATAGCCGTGCTAGGCTAGTTTACACACAAAGCGTTATTTTGAATAAAAAAGTCAAAAGCTTTAAAACTTACACATATAAAATATCGTATCCGTCAAAGTGTCATATTAAAGTTCACAAGTTCAAGTGAATGTACTTAAACGATACTGAACTGTGACAGAGTATAGCAGTGACGGAAGTATTTTCGATCACACTAACAACACTAACTTCGTATGTAAGATTTTAAAACTATTACACACCAACATCAAGAGACCATACAATGCATCACTATAATGTTCCTGTATGGATGCTTCGCTTGCAACAATCCTTCCCAGTTCATGTTAGCAATACCACTCACGTTCCACTGCCCTCTTCACAGATGGGTCAGTCTGCCGACAGTGTAGGTTACTCCCTTCTTTCCTGACCACACCTGTATGTACCGCCTGCCTCCTGAGGCTAGCATCTTTACGGTGGAACTTTATGCAATCTTGTATGCACTTGGTCAACTGCTTTCCCGAGGTCAACGTTCCTTTGTCATTGTGGTTGCCTTCCGCAGTGACCTCAGGGCCCTGGAGTCATTTAACCGTATGCATCCTGTGGTAGTCGAAATTCAACATTGGTCATTTCTTATCAGATGTAAGACAGTTGAGTTTTGCCGGGTTCCCAGCCATATTGGTATTGCCTTACACGAACGTGTAGACACTGCCACTAAAGACGCTGTCCACCTTTACCCTATTTACAAAACAAGCATTCCTTATTAAAACTTCTACCCACTCATTCATTCATCAATCAGAGACCACTGGCAGGGTCCAGCGGTTTCGGATTGAGGATCCATCCTAGCTCCAGGGTCGCTGGTCTGAGGTTACCTATAATAAACTCTTTCTTTCAAAAGTAACATATCCTTGGCTTCCTCCTACCCCCATAATAGACGATGAGAAACGGCTTTGGCTAGGTTACTTATTGGCTATACACGCTGACCTCATGGACATTTAATGCAATGTCGCCCTGCTCCTTACTGTTCAAACTGCATTGTTCCACTTATAGTCGTGGACATCCTTGTGGAATGTCCAGGTTTTCAGGACGATCGGATGTCTTACTTTCCTTATGTCCCTCCAGGGCATCTGTCCCCTCCACAAAATCATTGGTGAATCTGATACCTTTGATATCGCTAGCTTGTGTGTTGTTGTTCTCATGTTGGCACCATTGGTGATATCTAGCGCCTTCTGAATATCTAGCGACACTGATGGTGCTACATAGTCTCCTCGGCTTGGTGCCTTCTTTTGATAATTACTTACTATACAACGTGCCACTATAATGTTCCCATACAATGTTCAGAGCAGCTTGTGAAATGTGACAAGTTGGTGTAACAGATTTATTTCAATTTGTGTAATTTAGTTTTCACCCTAAATCATGCTTTTAAATATATATTAACATTTACCCTACTCTTATTATGACTGTCCCAGGTTAGTAATATTTCAACCCAACCCCTTCCCCAGAATGATTGGCCAGAGGCCAAATATTGTCCATACATATACTATATTAGGCCTTGGATTATTTATTTTAGGCCTAGGATATGTTAGGTTGGCCTATGAAAGGTTTGGTTGCTATATTAGGTTTTTCCGTAGATTTGCATTTTTTTTCAATATCAATAGTACAAAGAATTGTTACAGAGCAGCAATATTACTTTGTGGACTGTTACAGAGGAGCAAGAGCATGCAAATATGCCTCTGTGTTGCTGTACTGTATGCACAAAGTTTTGACAAATTGGTTGTCCCACTTGTAGCTTGACTCTGAGCATTGGTATAGCCACAACGCGTCCAGGTGAAGGGCCCAGTAAGCTTAATTATATCATTTGTGCATGAAATAAACACTATATATAAAGCGTATGATGATATTACTCAAAGCTTCCAGTAATATAAACCAGGCGATTATATATATGAATTATGAAAGTGGTATTACCCAGAGTGAAGACGTGCAGCAGCCCACACGCCTCGGTGCCAACACCAGCCCTCTACTAATGAGGGAGGGAGGGAACTAGCAGGAGAAAGCGCCAAGCCACCACGACCATATAGCACTTGGAAGGGGTCAGGATAGACTGGATGGGACGGGGGGAAGGCATGGTGCCCAACCACTTGGACGGTCGGAGATTGAACGCCGACCTGCATGAAGGGAGACCGTTGCTCTACCGTCCAACCCAAGTGGTTGGTAATGAGAGAGGTACACAGGACAGAAGACAGCCAGGTGACTCCTGCCTCTCCCGCAAGTAAGCAACACTGCGGTCATAACCTACACACATCACGGCGGCTCAACCACGCCCTCTACTCATAAGCTACTGTTTAATAGTGCACGAGACGCCAACTGCGCCTCCAACAAGGGCCCCGCTGCTTGGTAAGCTTAGCTGTATGGAGGTGCGGTGTAGCGGGTCCAGTATTGCTTCTGGCCAACTGAGTCACCGCCACTACCCGGGAGCACATGGGCTTGTTTGTGAACGACACACCAACAGCGCTAGACACCCCCCACCTGCCCGTGTGTGGAATGAGACAGTCTATCTGCCTTCTGGGAACCAGGGTAGCGGTCGTGCTGTTACTGCCGTCCACTCATGATGCAGCCTCCCAACTGGTCGCGAATGACAATGACTTCTTAGACTCGATGCGAGTATTCAAGGCATGAAGCACATACTGTGACGAAAATACTGTACAGAGATTACTAGTTGTTGTCAACCAGTGACAGTTATATTTCTTGCCGTCTTTTGAATATGCAACAAAATCTAATAATCTAACACAATCTTTTGTTAATAGCAATTTGTAGGGGAACATACAGGTTATGATGAAATGCTGGGAACAAGGGATAATAATAGATTATACTTTAATCCTTAAATATGTTGAGGACTAAAGTATACTTGTTGCTTGGTCAGGAAGCGGTTGAGAAGCCTTACGCCCAACACCAGAGCAATGTTGGAGAGCATGAGAGACCTCCAGCCACGTCTACACCCTTCCACACTAGCACACCACCTTTATACCAGCCAGCAGTTCAGTGAGCGCACACACTCCCAGTTTAAACAAGGATGCGAGAGAGTGAGGTTGATCACACTCTGTAAACAACGTCATTACTTCCTCCTCCGCCTCCTGTCTGCAGTTGCATCAACCAAAAGAATAAGAATATCTTCAAGATTCAAGTTAGAAGGAAAGGTTACTCCTTCCTAGTTAAAGTGCATACACACTCTAAATTTTGAAAGACGTCCCTTCGTTAAGCGATGTCTCTCAAAATGTTTAACACCAGAAGTTAGGCAAGACCAACGACCCGTCTCCACACATTATACGACATTTACAACGTCCTCCATCAATCCCAGTGAGTAACTCACATCTTGAGCGTCACAGTCATGGGACTGCTCGCTGCGGTACGCGGCCACTATACACCCTCATACACAATGAAGTCACACTAACGTGATATGTTAGAGATAAACTTTTGCAGTAAAACAGTGGGATCGAACCAGCGTCCTGGGTCACCCCAGACGCAGGACGGCAGAAAAATAATGATTTATTCCATAATGATTTATAATGATTTATTTATACACTCCGAAGTCGCCAGCAAAGCCTAACCGCTTGCACAAAAACCCTTATTACATTTTACCAATGTGCTTCTAAACCTTCATATATTTAACATTGCTAATTTGAAATTTAAATATAAAACGTGTTACCTTTTGCTGTCTTCAACTGCATTTAGTCCAAATAGGCTGCTTCGAGCAGGAGAGAAGCCATTAACGATAGTTTATGATTATTATAGATAACTTATGAACTTCCCGCCCGACACGTCTAATGATTTATAACAGGTGTCCTCAGCCGCTGACAGCCTGGGCAAAGTATCGAGGGTATTACTTGTACAATTAAGACGTATCATATGGTTACTGATGAGCCGTGGGCTACCACACGGTCACTCGTGGTAGGCCTCAGTACCAGGCATCACCTCACGATGCAGACCGTCTTATTATTATTAATAACAAAAATTAATTACAATTTTGCCTAATATGAGGAATTCAACTAGGTCTTCAGACCAAATCCATTATCATGGGATACCACACCCACCTTCAAACCACATGGATAATTATCCTGATATTTGTGATGGTCTGAAAGCCTGTTGCGGTTCCAGTAATAGTCTACATGTAAACTGGTAAATGAACCTTTGCCGAAACTGAGATTCTCAAATTATAACTTTAATGTAGCTGAAATCGCTGGTTTAAAATATAAGACGTATATGCTGAAAACGTTTTCTTTGAAGAATTTGGTTTTCTGTAAACGTAATTCACGGGGACACTAAAACATTTTTTGAATTTCATATTTCACATTATATGTGAAATATATAGGCGTATAACCGCAGTATAACCTGTCCTCTCGAATAATACATCGCATTTTGAAGTTTAAATGCACTAAGACCAAGATCAAACCGGCTCGAAAAATTGAAGAATAGTCCCGTTTTCTATTCGTTGGTCCTCGGTAAGGATAGGTTAGGGCAATTTAGTACGTCCGTTTGGCGACGTTATGAACGCTCGAGAGGATGGGCTGGAGTTCAATGAACCAACTACATCATCATAAAACAAAAAAGAATGTCAATATCGAAAGCCGTTCCTATGACCCTATTCCCTTTCCGTTCATTTCACATGGAAAGCATTTGATACTCTTTGGGGAACATGAAAGTCGTTTCTTCGTGTATGTGTATAGGTGTAAGGTAGAGCACTGACAGGTGGACGAAACTCTGGCAAGTATGGACGCCCCCTGTTAGCAGAACATGAGAGAGAAAAAAAGAAAGCATCGCAGCAAATATGTTATCCCATACTAGGCGGGCCCCTTTTAAATCCATCCTCTCTTAACTATATACTTATCCAGTCAATTTTTGAAACGTGTTGAACTATTTACCGGTATATGGTACTCTAGTA